CCAGTACTTTCATCACAGCTGGCTTAAGATGATCAGTTACAAAAAAATCCTCCGCAACCTTGGACAGACATGGTGTCAGAGAGATGGGTCTTAAATCTTTCTTCAGATTCCGCACAGGCGTTTTCTGGGGAAGAAAGGTGACATCAGCATATTTCCAGGAACTAGGCAGTCGCTGTTCACTGAAGGAGGCGTTCAGGATGGTAGGGTTTGCGCGCAGCAGGCCCGTGGCGCAAATATCGGAAAAACTTGATCCACGCCAGTACGCAAGGGAGGGGCACTCCCACACGCGATTCACAAAGCAACTGATAGTGGAAATTGTGGAGCTAGAATGTTCTTTGCCGATTACTCAAAGGGTTTGGACCTGATTTACGATTCAATTCTTCTCAGAAAATTGGCGTCTTTCGATATAGACACTGTCTCAATTAACTGGATACTGTCTTCCTAACTGGAAGATCATGAGCTATAAAGATTGGTGACTCTCGGTCTGATTGGAACTCAGCCAAGGGAGACGGTATCCCACAAGGGACGAAACTGGGTGTGATTTTGCGTAAATGGCATTTGAGGATTAAATTCGTTGATGATACCACGGCCGTAAGAAATCCTGCCAAGAAACGGTTTTAGCTCTCTAAATGTAGCTGTCAATGATATTCACAAGTTTTCTATCGAACATGATATGAAATTAAACTCGAAAAAATGCGAAGAAATGTTAAGCGCAACTCTCGCTAATAGTGGTCCTCTCGACTTCCCGTCAAAAAACATTTTTCCTTAAATTTTTTCCCCATTAAAAGGGTTTAGGACACATACTTCAAAAATAGTTTGGGTGCTTTCCGATTCTCTTTTTTTGTCTCGCCAAGAGCGAAAATTAACTTTTGGCTAGACCCTCCATCTAGACAACGATCGAAAGTGAAAATTTCACAGCTATTGTCGAGCGTGCTGTGACTGTAATAGTGTAGTTCACGGAATTCTCTCTTGCTTCAAGTTGCAAGCTATATTCATTCACTTCCCAGACAAAATATGGAAACTTCACTTGAAATCCTATTCATACCAACGTGATCAGAAGAGACCCTTCCCTTCGACCTTCATTTGCATATCTAAAATTAATCAATTCAATAGACAGAATTCTCAAAATGCAGGTGTAAGTCGGACTAAAAAACAGTTTATACACCAATGAGGTCACAAATTACCTCAAACCTGCGGGTATCCCTCTAGCTTTCATTTACCATCATCTTGAAATCAACGCAAATAAATGTCTTACTTAATCGCGCAAGTGTCAAAGTTCATTTGCATAATTCTGAAATATGACCAAGATATGTCTTTGACCGTTCAAACTTCGTTTGATTATCTTCTACGTAAAGTATGTTAGGTTTTCATAACAACTGAATAGAAAATAAATTACGAGTTGCCCTAAAACGTTGCATAAACATGATCAGTCGTAACGCTTCCAGACTTACAAAGTAAACCGGCAAAAGCGATAGGAATGCGCTTCCTCGATAATTTTCCTTGAATCAGGTCAAGAGTCACTTACAGAGTGAAGAAGATCAAATTAAAGAATCCAATTTGGCATTCTGGTTATTGCAGACATACTGTGCAGCTTAAAAAGACACATAAACAAGTTAAAATACATGTACGTTACGGTGTTATATACAAAACAACCTTCTGCAAGAATACTTGCAGTTTCTACCAAGGTTTACCACACGAAAGCAATCAACAGGCCCTCCTTTCTGAGCATTTGCTACCATCACTGGAGATTTTATGTTGTTATAATCCACAACGTTCTTAAGGAACACGCTCAATCTTTCGTGCGGCCATATAATCAAAATATAACCAGCTAGGCAAACCTGGCCAAGCATGTTGCGTGACGTGATTATGCTGACTAGTTCATTTGTTTCATGACTTGCCTCGCGGGTAAGTGAATTGAAACTAAAAAGTAGTTAATGTAACAAATTAGAACCGGTAAATCGGCTAAAAAACATATCGGACGACGACAGTTTATACACCAATGAGGTCACCTATTGCCTCAAACCTGCGGTGTTAAATTGGTTAATTTTTGATATGCAAATTAAGGTCGGTCTCTTCCGATCAAGCTAGTATGAATAGGATTTCAAGTGAAGTTTCCATATTTTATCTGTGAAGTGAATCAATCTAACTTGTAACTTGAAGCGAGAGAGAGTTCCGTGAGCTACAATATTGCAGTCGCAGCGCGCTCGACAAAAGCTGTGAAATTTTCATTTTCGATCGTTGTCTGCACGGGTGGTCTAGCCAAAAGCCAATTTTCACTCTTGACGATGCAAAAAAAGAGAATTGGAAAAAAACCAAACTATTTTTGAAACATGTGTCCTAAACCCTTTTCAGAGGAAAAAATTAAGGAAAATTTTCTTGGGACGGGAAGTCGAGACGACCGCTCTTAGCTGGGGTGGCACTTAATTAACTTCATGCAGAATGATAATTTCACTACAAGACCAATTGTCCTAGGTAACAACACTGTCGAATGTGTAGCAAGTTATAAATAACTCGGTATTGTAATCAGTAATGACTTAAAGTGGAACGAGCATATTGATTACATATCAAAAAAAGTTTCGAAACGCCTTCATTCCCTGAGGATTCTTTAAAAAGTGGGTGTTAATAGAGAGGGAATTGTCAAAGTCTATTTGACAACAATAAGAATATGGCGTACAAGTCTGGCAAGACATTTCTGAATTTCTTTAAAATAAACTAGAATCAATTCAAAAAGGGCACTACATATTATCTATCCGTGCAATAGTTACTCAGATGCCCTTAAAACTACCAGCCTTAGCAGC